TAATCCGTTTGCTATGAAACGTAAGCTATCCGAAGTAGACAAAAACGATTTTAATGGGCTCGGAAAAACTAAAAATGGTCAAAAAAATAGATAACGTTTCATCCACTACCTATTTAGAATAAGAGATTTGTTTTATATATAATAACGAAATAAATTTACACTATAGTCTGATTTTTAAATTAACTATTTATGGTACTGGATGGAGCATTCGGCCGGCGTTGTGCCGAAATATTTACTGAGACATATGAAAACAACCTTTGATGGACCAAGAATATAAACAATGCTCACATGTATGAATATGTACATTTGTGTGTGTGTGTTTGTTTTGACAGATATTTCCCTTATCTTCCCTTCTCGACTAATGCCTAGACGAATCAGCTGTGAACCTTATGATTTTTTGTTTTGCAATTTAGAGGAAGGTTAGAGACTTTAGAGACTGGATATATAATAATGGTGGGAATCTTGCAAAACGCTTCCAAAATACAGATGAATTGTTTGAAACTCTTACAAAGGGCAAGTGGAATAGGAAGTGTAACTCTATCATCCGCGATACAAAGACATACATATTCTAATCAACCTTCGTATCAGAAGATTTTTGATAGAAATGCGAAGCGGCTGCAGAAGGAACGAGCAGCATTGAGGTAACGCTATTAGTCGACGATTGTTGCTGTGTGTTGTTAACGACAATCATTTTTTGTCCAGTCCTGATGTTGAACTCTATGACTACCTCAAGGAAGAAATTGGATACCGACTGGCTGATAGAGTTTTCGATATCAAACGGGAATTCCAAGCAGCGGCGGATTTGGGTTGCAATCGAGGCTTTCTCTCCCGACATATTTGGCGGAGAGTGTGAAACATTTGACACTTTGTGATATCAGTCCCACTATGCTTTCGCAGGCAACAGGGACACCAGGATTGCAAATTGCGAAAAGAGAAATCGACGAAGAGCAGTGGGATGTAAGGTCTTATATCGCTCCGTTAAACACTAATGAGAATTGCTTAGCAGTTTGCAGAGAACTCCTTAGACTTGGTACTTTCTTCATTGAGTCTGCACTGGGTTAATGATTTGCCAGGATGTTTCGGTAGAGTTATTCGAAGCCTAAAAGAGGATGGCGTGTTTATTGCTTCAATGTTCGGTGGAGACACCTGTACGAGCTGAGGTCATCCCTGCAACTGGCAGAACTCGAGAGGAAGGGTGGAATAGCGCCACATATCTCGCCATTCACACAGGTGACGTTTCCATGAAACCGTTTTCTTGAATTATTGACATTTCTTAGATTCGAGACATTGGATCGCTTCTCAATCGTGCCGGTTTACAATGCTTACCATTGACACAGATGAAATCGTCATTGGCTATCCTACAATGTTTGAGCTAATGCACGACCTCAAAGGTATGGCCGAAAACAATGCAGCCTTCAACAGACCCGTTCACTTAAACAGGGACACAATGCTGGCAGCCAGTGCTATATATAAGGAAATGTATGGCAATGATAAGGGCGTGCCAGCCACATTTCAAATCATATATTTTGTTGGTTGGAAACCAGGGCCCAACCAACCAACCCCTTGCCACGAGGATCGGGAGAGGTGTCATTAAAGGACTTAGGCACCCTAATAGAGAATAGTGCCAAAAGCAAGAAAAGTGAAAACAAATGAACGATAGTTTATTTCAATAGTTGTCTTTATTGTAGCTTTCTCGTTTAAATATATATTTTCCCTTTTACTTCGAAGTTATACAGTTTTTACGATATTTATATATATACCTAAATTCATTGGACGCAACAGGATAAATGTATAATAATTTGCTGTGTTATTCCTTCCTCTGTCCACAAACTTAACAAATAGTCGTTCGTAGTGGTGGGAAGTTCGGAGTTCGGTGTGAAATATATATATATATAAATATGGGTTTTTACATTGTAAATACATACGTTTATGTTCGTTCGTGTTACGTTGAAGAGCGACGTCTGAGGCGTATTTACTCTCAAAATTTCAGAAAAATGGAAATTGCCTTCAGGTCATTTTGAAATATATATTGAAAGGATATTTTGTCTTACGGATATAGAACGAATGCATTGCCATAAATGTAATTCTATAAACAATTCAAACTTAGTTTAAGGTCATTTAGGTGCTACTCTGCGGGGAGTTTCTTGTGTTGCGTATAAAAGTTTATAAAGATTAGAAAATACTCAAGCTAAGAATACAAACAATTTTAACAATTTTCTTTTGAAATGAAACGAATGTTTTAAATTTTAAAGGCAACCTTAAATTACTAAGTTACATATACCTACGCCCATGTATGTACACATATATACACGAATACTTGGATTTCTTTTGGGTGCAGCTCCGAATGAACATAACCTATTAATGTTTTGCCAATTTTTTTTTTTCAAAAATTGGAGGATGTCAGTTTAGCTTTGGGAATGGGAACTTTCACTGGACTACTATTAAAAAATATATCTCAAAAGGTTTAGTTATTGCCAATAAAGGTAGGATGTCGATGTGTGTAGTTCATTTGGGTCTGCGAAAAAGGAAAACAATTTAAGCTTCATATATTCAACCAATCGCAAAGGTGGATAAATGAGAGGTGGGCGTTGGAGTTTGCACCGGTGATGATTTTGTTGATGGTGACGACGTCGCTACTAAGGTGTTCGAAGTTGGTGTTGTGGGTGTGGCAGCCTCAATCATTAAATCAACGTCATGTTTGGGAGTCGTCTGAGAGTTGTGCAAAGAATCCACTGAGGACGTCTCCGTTGAAGTGGCAGCTAACCGAACACCCGCTTTTTTCGCATTTTCCACTGGAGCAGGGGACGAAAAACACTGTTTCACTGGATTGTGAATTGGCGGCGTTGGGGGTAGACGTCAGGTGCCCATAAGGATCTCACGCTGTGGTGTGTTTTGCAATGCATTTGCCGTCTTCAGATGGATGCTAAAACACAGAGACTTGTATTTGTGCCGGTTACTTCTTCTACAGAACTTACTTGTTGTCCTCCAGCGAGAAGGTTTCCGACGAACCATGAGAGGCCATTGAGGTACCTGCAAGCGAACTTCTTATTGAATGATTATCCTCGGGCACAGTTAATGTTACTATATATTTATTTATATTTGTTTGTTTGTTTATTCATTTTTCGTGGATCGATAAGAGTAGTATAGGTTTAGTTCATTTCGATAAGCGAGATCATCCAATTGGGTTCGAATTTGGGTTTAAATTTGGTTTAGCATAAAAATAGAAGAGCCAATATTATTGAATGGTAAAGTCCAATTATTCAATGGCAGTTAATATTGCATTTGCTTGGTAGTGGGTGTTAGTGTTCACAAGTGACGCATCGATCGAGAGTCTGTGTGATCAAGTGTTAGCCTGCTACTAGCAGAATCGTAAAGGTCAAACGCTTTTTGTGTGTTGTTGTAGTAGTAGTAGTTGTTGTTGTTTTGTGATATTTGTTTAAGAGGAACAAACAAGAAAAACATGCAATACTTTTAAATCCTAATATTTTGCAGAAACAAGTAATTCTTCAAAGTTATTAATGTTGGCATGTTATTAAAAAGAGTGCCTAGCCAGCAAACTATGCTTTTTTTTTCTCAAAAACAAAAATAAATCAGGTCTCTGTGTTGGTAAAAAAATTTATTAAATAAATATGAAAAATAATAACTTTTTAATTCATAACTATACACAAAAGTAAGCATATAAAGAAGAAGTAGGAGATAACATTATGCGAAATCGTTTCACTAATAATAGGCAGAACAGGGGTTACATAATATATGGATGGTATAGGAATGTGGGTTAATAATAAATAACATAATTCTGGTATATAAATCAAAATACACTACTTCAACACAATTTCAATGGCAGCAATACAGTCTTGAGATACATAATTTCTGAGAAAATGAAATTTAAAAAAAATAAACGCATGCAAAAGTAGTGTATTTAGTAGTAGAACACTTTACTTCATAAAGATTATTTACTATTTGTAAATGTCAATGGAATACAGATAGATAATTTAGATACATTGTGGCTAATAAGAAAATATGTATTCTTAATAAAAATGCTGCTGAGAGGAAATGCAAGTAAAGGATAAGTTTTTCTTTTTCTTTTAAATTGACACGTTCGTTCAACGATGAAGAAGCTAGATTGGGATTATACAATTTAATTTCTACAAATAATCTTGGCTAAAAATCAACTTTAATATATGTATAGATATATGTATATATAGGTATAATAGTATTTTTATTTTTAAAGGCGAGTATTTTCTACGCTCAGTTCGTCATCTTCATCACCCTGATCGTCATCAACGTGTACTTTTAGTAGTTTTGGTCGTAATTTGTAATAAGAATATTAATATCATTGTGATCGGTTAGTTCGTTGACATTCTCAGTTGTACTGTTGCAAACAATTGAATGATGATCGCCATTCGGCGTTCGGTAGCTATTTTGAGCAGTTATTGTGCTCTTTACATTTTCCATTGCTGTGTCGATTGCATCCGAATTATTTGTTGTAATCGTCGTTCCAGTTGTTGTCGATGTAGTGGATGATGAGTTTATATTGTAATTGCTGATTTGCATTGTGGTCGACGTCGTTGTCTTAGATGGTGGAGGTGGTGTTGTTGTAACAAAAAATCCATTACTATATAATGAATTACTGCTAATAGCTGGTGAAGTGGCTAAACTAGTGATACTTTGATACGTTTTCATGGAATATGCATCACCTATAAAAGAGCATGTGTGGTTTGGGGACAGACACCGAAACATTAAAAGAGGACGTCAGAAAAAGAAGAAGAAAAAAAAACAGAACAGAACAAAATAGAATTGTTATACAATTAAAAAAAGTCATATGCGGCTAGTTCCTAACCTAAAACCTGCCAAGGATATGGTAAGGCAATGCAATGAATATGAAGTTATTTTTATCTACAGCAAGTGAAGGGAGTTAGGGTGTTTGCTTATTATTAATACCTATGTACATCGCATGTGTGCACCGTTGAATTATAAGTATATCTTTCGCCTTGTACTCTCTCCACACATCATTATTTGTATAAAAAAAAACACGAGTTGTATTAAGGAGCCGACACCATTTATGTAATGACTAGTTTTGCAACTATTACAGCGTTTACATGTTTTAACATTTTTTTTCTAAAATATCCCCTTTAAGTGCCATGGAGCTTCTGCGGAAACTTGCGGTATTATTAGTCTTGTAACAAATCTAATATAAATTATTAAATATGTGTTTATATTGTTCCATCCTAATGTTGTATGGTCCCAACTGTTTTCATATAAATGACGAGGTTTATGTTTATTATCTTATCTTTTTATCTAACTTAAGATCTGATGCTAGCAAAAGTGGTACTAATTAACAAACAAAAATTTATTTATCTTGAGAAAATAAAAAAAAAATCCACACCAAAATACATGAGATTTTATGTTTATGTTCATGCTGTATACGAAGTACCACCGAGTGAGATTTAAGGGTTATACACGCATTTTTTAGAATATGTGGAAAGAATTTAATACTTAAAAAAGAATGCATAATTTGACAAATACTATAGACGATATGAAAATGGATGCTTATATGTATGTTTCTATATTACCAGATATATTGGATTTGAGATTATCTACTTTGTATATACAAACAAATAATAATAGGTGCGAAATGTGTGAGTTTTTGTTAGTATAGGATTATGTTATCAAGTAGGAAGAAAGCGTTGTCCTTATTTACAAGCTGAATAGATCAATTGTCAAGCTTGTGACGATAACTTACCCGTGGCACACTCTGATGTTTCATATGATACTGTAGATTGTACTTCCATGGCATTTTGCTCCTGCCTATTGAATAAGGAAGATTAATTTATAAATATTAAATATATTTTTAAATGCAATAAGCCACCTACCTCAAAATAACATCGTTGATAACCTGCTTTTCTGTGTCCGTATATTCTGAACGACGTCGACCAATTTTCTTTTCAATATCAGCCTCGACAAATTGACCCAAAGGTTTTGTAGGGAATTCTGTGACTTTTGCTGGTGGAGGAACATCCAGTTTATGCTCTTTCAATTTCTTCATCACTCGTTCTAAGGCCTCTATGGCAAAGTCATCGTTGTAACCGAAATTCTTGTGTAGCTTGACTTGTAAATATTCCAATATCGAATCCATATCTTTTAGACGCAAAAGTTCATTTTTGTGCAGGTATAGTATTGTAATAGCCATTGCTGTTATAACACGGTCGCCTTCCAAAAGAAAAATGTCCCAGACACGTAAGCTTAAGCTAAATGGTATCTGAAATAAAACAGATTGCCATTGAAAATGGTTTCGGTTGCAAGGGGGACAATGGATCACTTACCCGTTCCACGAATACGACAAAGAACCATTTGATTGAATAAAGTATTGCGTCGACATTGTGTTTCATGAAGTGTTTGTGCAATTTTGGCATTATTTTCAACATTATACGGTCATGATGTTCCAAGAAACGCGTCAGCTTGGGAAACCCCTCAATAAATAGACCGTGCATGGCATACTTCTCGTTTACAATGAGGGCATTTAGAGCCCAAAATGCTTCTTCTTCTTGCATATACAATAACAGTACACCGGCAACACATGCCATACCCTGACAGTAGCCTAGTTCAGGATTATATATGCTATATGCATTTAGAACATTAAACAGTGAAACTTGTTTGACACTGTATCGTTCGCGAAAGGCTAAGTTATCACGGAACTGGCGATTGACGTCTGAATCGATTTGTCTGACTTCTGTGGAGTATTTGCGAGATAATTCCAGCATCTTGGCATAAACGCCAGTATTTGCAGACATTGTTTCCTCAACATTCAATAATTTTTTCCATGCTGGCCAGCGCATACGGTCTGGAATACCTTTAAACACTCGCTTACGCAGTTTTTCGTGGTGCGGATTCCATTTGTCTATCATCTTGACCCACTTCTTATCCCGTTCCAATTCAATTTTGGTCTTTTGCACTTCGTGGGCATCGCGTATGTCTGGGAGGCGGGAGTCATGCATAAAACCATACCTATTTTATAAAATTTTATTTTATTAAATAACTAATCTAAATTAGGAGTACAAGTCAATATCTGTTTCCTATATGCCTGCAATTTTAAAAATGTGGAGTATAAAATAGAACAAAGACTCCGCGAGGATGTAATTTGAGTCTAATTTTATCCATTTTTAGATGTATCAGACCACCAAGACCTGACCCCAATGCTTGTTTTTTCTTCGGAAATATAGGGTTTTATCCCTCTATGGATATCAGTTCCTGAATTGCTGCCTATGTATATGTACAATACGCTTAATCACCTACAACATAGCAATTCCAAACTAGATAGGTACTTACTTATCAGTTATGTGATATATTTCATAAGTGGGATTTTCCCACGGATCCACTTGATTGCTGGGATCCAAGCCCAAACTGTATCAAACTGGATTACATGTCAGTATCTGTTTCCTATATGCCTGCAATTTTAAAAATGTGGAGTATAAAATAGAACAAAGACTCCGCGAGGATATAATTTGAGTCTAATTTTATCCATTTTTAGATGTGTCAGACCACCAAGACCTGACCCCAATGCTTGTTTTTTCTTCAGAAATATAGGTTTTTATCCCTCTATTGATGGCAGTTCCTGAATTGCTGCCTATGTATATGTACAATACGCTTAATCACCTACAACATAGCAATTCCAAACTAGATAGGTACTTACTTATCAGTTATGTGATATATTTCATAAGTGGGATTTTCCCACGGATCCACTTGATTGCTGGGATCCAAGCCCAAACTGTATCGATTGAATATCAATTCGCGCTCTTCGGCAGCACGTTTCAATAAAGCCTGCTGTTCCTCGTCGATGGTCATCATGATGTATACGGGAAGGCCACAAATGCGTTCCTTACTTGAAGCAGACAATGTCTCAATTGCAATTGTTCTTATTTTCGCCAAACCAATATTAGATATACTATTTGTACAAGGGACACTGATACTTTAACGTTTTCATGTATTTGAACTCTCACATTTTCCTTGGCTTCTTCCAATATTTTGCAAACATTTTTTCTTGTTCCCAGCACAGCACAGTGAAGTGAGTTAAGTTACCACACGATCATACAAACACACAACACAAATGATTACTGTGAGTCTCCTTTTCTCCTTACGACGAAGAAAATGACGTGATTTTTCAATTGATTTTCTCTCGAACGCCCTTTAATTCAGTTGAAGTAAAGTTTATTATATTTTTTGCTTCTGATAAAGCCTAATTTACTTGTGCTATTTTATTTATCTTAGCATCACTTCACTTCCTGTCTTTACAACTCGTCGAACACCAAAACAATTTGCATTTTTGCTGTAATTTCTTTTCTCCTAGGTTGTTGTTGACGTCGCTTCGCTGGTATTTTAATGCTAGATTACCAGTTTTCACATTCGTTTTAAGAACAGACAAATGGACCGTTTCGTTTATAGATGGAATGATTTGGTTGAACGAGTTAAATCCTTATCGCCAAATAGTTTTAATTTTTTTGAGAATACAAATGAAAATAAAGGGTATTCATTCTTCTTCTTGCGAGACTAAGAAGGGCTACAACAATCGTTTTTAGACTCGCTGAGCGATTAGTATACACCGTTGCGTGCATTTCGTAGTCACTTCAGAGTTGGGTTTTTTCGTACCTCTGTAGCCAGCATATTATACTTGTCATGCTGACTAAAGTGTCAAAATAGAAAAAAGTTTTCATAAAGGAAAAAAGTTTTGCCTAAAATAACTGTCTTAATATTAACTAAATAATAGATTAATAATTCATTACTTACTAGAAATGTTTTGAAGTTTTTTACGTTCGATAGCCCTGGAATCTGTCGTATTAATTGTACGGGTGAAAGTCGAAAAGAAAACCCCAGACTCCACTTGGATAGGTTCTTGTTCCAATTAATCTATCAATCAACCAGGAGGCAGTATTTCAATAGCTCTCACGGATACGGTTGAAAAACAAATATGTTTGGCTTTGACGGCGAGTATCGTCGTAAACCTCAGCAGAGCCTTGGCGGTGTGTCGAACAGCACCGATCGGGAAACTATAATTCGCAAAGCTGCGGAGGAACGTCTGAAACGCAATCAGTTACGCCGCGAGACAAACGGAGCCATTGTACTGCAGTCATATTCACGTTCATTTATCCATCGTCAGAGGAGGAAAACGATACGAACGCGAGGAGTTCGACGGATTTCTAAAGACCCATCGGACCCAGCTGCAGCAAGATGAGAATCTTGAGTTTTTATTGCGACGTTTGGTATTCTTTTACAACACGAGAGAAGCCAAAGACTGCGAACGCTTGGTAAGTAGGAACAGAAATTGCATCATGTGCCACGATGACTAATTGACCCTGATTTTAGATTGAAGTATGCCAACACATACTGAAGAGTCCCGCCCGAATATTGCAAAACTCGACCACAGACAAAATGTGGCTGCATCGCCTAAAGAAGCTTTTGGATCTGTGCATAGTTCAGCTGACGACCGACTCACAGTCTTCCCAAGCTATACCCTTGAGAATGTTGGAGACATTCACTGCCGAAACGTCAATAGAACGTTACGTCGAAAATGAAGATCTGATAAAAACCTATTTAGAGTTGGTTTTCAAATATCTCATTGGAAGGGAGTACTACAAACGATTACGTACCGTTTTGGAAATTAAGTGTCCTCCACTGGACGGAGAGGTACTTCATCCTCCAAATCAGTTTTCTGAGGCTATTTTTCAATTAATGTTGAGGCCTCTACTACTGGCCAAGAACTCGGAAGCTGAGTTCTCCTACACCGTGTGTTTGTCGTTCAGCAGACACATATTGTCGCTGCCTTCCACCGATTGCATACGCAATTTTCTTGTACCCTGTTTTGCTGATTGTGCCGAATTTCCGTTTGAGTTCATCGTAAGAACACTGCAGAGGTATACCAAATCGGAGGTCCCTGAGAAAATGGATGTCGATGCCAGAAGTATGCCCACATTCACTGGTGCCTCGAGTACAACGACAAATGTCAGTGACAATGTCAAGTCTAAAAATGCAGAAACAATAGATCCGAAAACCATATTCAGCACATTTTTGTTACACTCACTGCTTGTGTTGGACCGTAAACAATTGGGTATGCACTATCAGGTCGAATAACATTCTTGCTCCAATACTTAGTATTCGTTCTTTCAGATACTCTACACACCAAAAAGTTGCTAAGCAGCTACATCAAAATTATTTCAGAGGTATCGACGAAAATACTGCAGTTGCCAAAGTCCTCACTGAAACATTCGGCACATCATCATAGCCATCATGGAAACGAAAGCGAAGACAGCTCTTCCGACGACGAGAGTGATGCCGAAGATAGTTATCAGGGAAGGGAGGCTGCCGATGGCGAATTTGGGCCACAAGTAGTTGCCATAACCGACAAAGAAAAGGAATATCTTCTGGAATGCATTGTTATGCTTAACGAGGGACGGCGAGTTCAGGTAATTGTGGATAACATAGAGGAATACTTGCACGACGAAGACGTTTTGTATGGGCTGTGTGAAATTTGCCACAACTTGATGATCTTCAATAAAATGGCCATGTTCGATTACAAGTAAGTCCGCTAGATGTTTGCGAGGGACTACTAATACCGAAACATGTCTTCCTTAGGTTATTGTATACCCTTTCTTTTACGCCGAATTTTATAAGAGCTGTGTGGTTTACACTGGTGTCACAATCAAAACAGCAGGGATTTAATGCGCCTTTGACACTTATATCCAAGGGAGTTGTGCGTATGTATACATTTATGGCTATTGATTGTCCCAATTATTGCACTATTTACCGTTTTCAGCAAAACATTCTGGCAGTGAAACCTTTGTCCCACTACTGGCAACATTCTGTACATTGTTCGGACGTTTACTACCCACACTGCACGACAATGAATTCTGTGATGAAAAACTACTAATAGATAAGAGTCCCCAGGCCACAACTCATGTCCGTCTAATGCCGTTTTCCCTATCCGAAATTGTGCAACTTTCAAAAACACTCAAAGAAATATCCTTGGGCCTGGTCGAATTGGCATTCCCAGAGACGCGTTCAAATCTAAACCAGCACTATCGTTTTGTTTTGGGTCGTTCAGATTCGGACGACACTAAAATGAGACAAAAACAAATTTGGGCGAATCTACTGAAAGTGGTTGTATTTGTGTTGAACCAAATACATACCAGAGATCTTAGATTGGGCTTCTGTCCGGATTCGCATTGGACTGTGACACGTTTAGATTTGCCACTGGATAGACCGACGGATTTACCATTAACCCGAGGCAGCCGTACCCGGGGCATTCGCCCTTTTCAGCCGATTCGAGATTTCACCAGAGAGGATTTCGAAAACGGTCCACCGATGTCAACGAAGCAAATACGCTCAATAACGATTTTGAGAGAAATACCCTTTGTGGTGGCTTTCAGTAAACGGGTGGGCATTCTTCAGGGACTTGTAGCAGCCGATAAAATGCGAGTGCAGGGCAACTTGCAGGCTTTCCTGCAAGGACCCTCAATAATGTTGACTGTCCGAAGGAGTCATTTATACGAAGATGCCTATGACAAACTAAGGCCGGAAAACGGTATGTGTTTTAAAAGAGTACTTATTTAAATGGTACAACATTTAAACGAAATATCTTTCTTACATCCAGAACCTGATTTACGTCTGAAATTCCGAGTACAATTTGTCTCGTCATTGGGCTTGGATGAGGCGGGCATAGATGGCGGTGGGGTATTCCGTGAATTTCTCTCAGAGTTAATAAAAACAGCTTTCGATCCAAATAGAGGCTTTTTCATGTAAGTTTTTTTTTTATTTGTATGATAGGAATATTCATATATTTCGATTCTTTGCCATTTTTAGGGTCACAACAGACAATAAACTTTATCCGAATCCCACAGTCAGCGACTTGGTGCCGGACTTTGAAAAACACTACTATTTCATAGGTAGAATATTAGGTAAAGCTATTTACGAAAATCTTCTTGTTGAACTTCCTCTGGCGGAGTTTTTCCTAACAAAACTGGCTGGAAAATATGCTGACGTCGACATACATCAGCTGGCGTCGTTGGACCCTGAGCTCTATAAGAATCTTCTATACCTTAAGGATTACGAAGGCGATGTTAGCGAGTTAAACTTGGACTTTACAGTAGCAAGCAGTTCGTTTGGTCAGACACAAGTTATTGAGTTGAAGCCCCAGGGACAAAGTATACCAGTAACTAACTCCAACCGCTTGGAATACCTTCATCTAATGGCAGACTACAAGCTGAATAAGCAAATACGCCAACACTGTATAGCATTCCGCAAAGGCCTGTCGAATGTTGTTTGTGTTGAATGGCTGTATATGTTCAGTAACAAGGAACTGCAAATACTAATATCGGGCGCAGAGATACCCATCGATCTAGAAGATCTCAAGAGGCATTGTAAATATGGGGGCGAATATAATCCCGAGCACCCATCAATAATAGCGTTTTGGGCCGCCTTGGAAGGTTTCGATGATCTGCAAAGGCGGCAATTGTTGAAATTTGTAACAAGTTGCTCACGCCCGCCGTTGTTAGGATTTAAGGTATTATGTCTGTGGAAACTGTAAAGAAACCTAACGATTTAATATATATTTTTTTACTTCAGGATTTGGATCCGCCATTCTTTATTCAGAACGCCGGCGACATGGAACGCCTACCGACGGCAAGCACATGTACTAACCTATTGAAATTACCCCCCTTTAAAACTGTCGAACAAATGCGCGAGAAGTTATTGTACGCCATACAATCTGGAGTTGGGTTCGAACTTAGCTAAATATTAAGAACTATGTCGGTTTTGTGATCAAATAACAAATCAATTAAACTGTGTATGCTGTAGAATTTTAATATGAAGTCAGAAAATAGGTTTTGTGTTGGTTTTTTTATTGTAAATGAGAAAGCAAGACAAAGATCTACAAACTTTGAATATGAATACCGTGATCATATCAATTGAACACTTTCCATAAAACTACTCGTTTAATTGGTATAATGTACAAAATTAAAATATCGATAAGAATAAATTGTTCTTTCTATTATTAAGAAGAAAAAATATACATATGAAGTGTTATGAAAGTTACATGCGGATTTGAGACAATACACTTTGGCATGATGGCGCCAAGGATACCGCAAATGATGTGAAATAACCAACGATGTTCAATGTAAAATGGAAATAGTATCGCAGTAAGTTAAGTTTATTAAATTTTCAAAGACACATTTATTAGCTGCCACATGAGACTAAACAGCCATATTAGTTTGAATTTTTTGGGATCTCCCTCGATTCGATTCAGTTCTCTTTGAATATTTTCAATATCAGCACATCCACTGTTCTTCCGCAATGAAAATGTTATTCAAAGTTATCTCTACTTGGTACGCAAATAATAATAGTTCGTCTATCATACCTAACATCTGTCTGTAAACCTTTTTCATTGCCCTACAAAAGTTCGCCTTGTCCCTGGAGTACTGTTTAATCGATTTAGTTAAGTTTTTAGTGTATTTCTTTTCATTCGTTCTCACGTTGCTGCGCCTTTCGGTGCACAGTGCTTTAATGGGGATTTATGTATGTGTGTGCCTCTGTAGGACAACCAGGCATAAAATTACACATAAATT